TGTGCAATTTTCTTTTGATAAATGCGGTTTTCTTATAATATATTTTAAATGCTTCTCCCAGAGATGATATGATTGCTTTCATGTTACGATTATATGGGTATACTATCTTAGGCCTTTTTTCTTAAGCTAATCTTTTCGATTCCCAACTGCCAATGGCTGTTTTACAGGCGCAAGAATACGCACGGGCGTCCGATCTTACTATTCAAAACCAAGGAAAATATTAACTACAAAAAATGTATCTAATTATTGACGGCTACTGGTACCGTCGGAAGTGGAAATCTTTGCCTGCTGTTGAAGATGAGGACGGAGCACTTATGGGAGTGTCCCGAGTGCTATGATGTCGATTCTTAATTCAACATTTAACATTCAGGGGAAATTACTAGAAGTCCACGTGAAAAAAATCTCAGCCTTCACCAGGGCCTGAACCCGGGACCTTCAGCACTCGAGGCGGACACCATACCTGGTGATCACTCAGCTCCCTTCAAATTCAGTTATAACGTAGAGCCTTTAATAAGTTCGAGGATTGTGTAACATAATTTATGTGATTTTACAAACAGATACTTTACTATTTCTTTCAACACAAACTAAACGACATACTTCTTCTTAAAGCTCATACCGTGTGGCGTTTGTAGTCATGTCTATACCCAGCCTTCTAGCTCGTGTACTTTGAGTCAACTCTGACACAGATGATCCTCGGTGCCGTGATGTCAGACTGTCCAGCATCTTTTCTCTCGGTCTGCCTCTGCCTCTCCTCCCCTCCAACGACATTATCTTTCCATTATCCATATATTTAAAAAGCGCACTTATTTTAAACTTTTCTAAGATGAGCTAGTGTCTTTTAAGACGGTGGGGGCCTCAGAGCTTTATATATTTTAGGTCTCGTCAAGTTTTAATCCGGTCCTGGTCGGAGTGCATCCGCCTGCGAGACGAGGAACTGTCTGTATACACACACAAAAAGCCAGATTTGGAAAACGGATGTGCATGCAAGTTCGAAAACAAGATCGGAGTCCAGATGTGTGCGAATAAGAAAATTCCGCTGGAGTTTACAACCGATGAAAACTGTTTGATGTTTTCAACAACAGATCAACATCTAGGGCACACCCAAAAGTGCTCCCTTCTTCTTCTAACTCAAGTCTGAGTCTGAAGAAGCTCAGCACAGTGCACAGGCTCTGTAGCACCGGCGAGGACCCTGAAATAATTTGGGTCTATTTTCAACTCCCGAATTTTGTCAGTGCAGCGCCATTAGGCTACTCTTTTTGATTTCCAACTGTCAAGGCATTTTTTACGTGCTCAGCAATACACACTGGCGTCCGATCTCACTGTCGATCTCAGAGACCAGAGGAGATTACTAGAAGTCTAAGCCCACGTGAATAAATCTCAGCCCTTATCGGGGATTGAACCCGTAACCTCTAGCACCTCTTAACCACGCAGCCCCTGAAAAAAAAGAATAATGGGAATGAACTCAGACACAAATGTCTTAACTGGTTTTCTCTGAGTTATTGTTCCTAGCACTAATACTGTAAGGTTTAATCAAAGACGGAACAGCCAGGCATTGAACCTAAAAATACAGGAACCCCCTTTTTTTGTATGCAAGTGGTCCATCTCACATAATGATGGTATATTTTTGCATAGACCATATGGCACTGGGTGGAGCCGTCGTGGTGTAGCGGCTGAAAGCTGGCCTAGGGATCGGATAGTCGTGAGTTTAGTTTATGACGTAGCCAAACTTCTTTTTTTTTTAATGACCTTGGCTCCTATGTCGACCCAGTTTTAAATGGCGATCAGATAAAGTCTTTAGGGGTGAATTCTGTAGGCGTGATAATGACTACATCACTCACCAAACGCTGATTTGTCTATAAAATATAGGTCTAGCCCTATATGCCTAATACATCTGAAGCTGTGGGTGTGATTGTGGATGTGTGTGTATATAATGTATGCACGTATGTATGTATGCATATATGCATGTGTGTATGTAATATCTGTTTGGGTGATTGTATATGTGTGTATGCATGCATGTGTGTGTTTGTATGTAATGCGTGTTGGCATGTATGTATGCATGTATGTATGTATGTATGTATCTATGTGTGTATGTATGCATGTTGGTGGATATATGTATGCATATTTAGCTGTGATACTATATGGGTGTATGTGTGTGTATTTAGGTATGTATGTATGTTTGTAAAGATGTGAGTGTATGTATAAATGTATGTATGTATGCATGTATGTGTGTGTATGTGTGGTTGTGGGCATATGTTGGTGTCTGTACATGTGATTGTATATGTGTGTACGCATGGATGCATGTATAGGTGTGCATGTATGTAAATGCGTGTGTGTATGTATTACGTATGTCTGTACATGAGTTTGCGTGTATGAAAACGTAAAAGTGTGTACACGTGTGTGTGAGTGTTATTATATCCTTAACATGCATTATTGATAACAGGCATTGGTAATTTGAAAAATGAGAAGAAGGGCCGAATGCCAGACGGGCCTGCGTGCTTAATTTGTAACCCTTTGAAAATGAAGTTTGTTCGTTCGTTCGAAGGCGTGAAAAGGGCTCCTTTAATTTATCTATTCGGCATACTGTGGATGATCTGGTCAAAATCACACCGGCGCCTTTACTTCCCAGGGCATTACCCTTGTCCTGATTTTGGGCTAACTGGACATGGAAGGCAAGGTCAGTTTTGAAAACTAATAATTCCGGCTGCATGCATTTCGAATTATTTACACATCGGCCAACCGATACCGCGGAAGCGTCCGCGATCCACCGGTTAAAACCGGATCTCTGTAGGCAAGAAAGAAATGGAGTCAAACCCTAAGGCAGCTATTGCTTCATCGGGCACTGGTGTCTTGCGATATTACAAGTAGTCAGCTTGATTATTTTGACCCCTGTGTGGGTTCCTGGGCCCTATTATAGGGAAAACAAGAATAGACTTACTGCCTACCGTAAAGCATGTCGTAAGAGTTTAATAATTGGCAGCTTCCTTCGAAGTCGGATTGCATCTGCCTGAGAGGCAAGGAACCAACAGTCTGCACACAAATGCGTCAGATCTGTCAAACGGATGCACACGCAACACTCAGGTTCTGGAACAGGACTGCAGTCCAGAAGTGGACGGACAACCAGAACTTTTCGCCAGTTTTACAGCTGGTGAACGCAAAGAAGAAGAAAAAGATATTATTTTGCTACAACCGTTTTCTCAAAGCTGGGTGTCTGAAAGCTCGTGTTGCTGGGTCAACCTAGAGAATGGAGTACGGTCGAGTCCACAAGGACATCCTGTATGGTGAATAACAGATGGGTACAATGAATGAATGAGCCTGTCTTTTTTGTTTCAGAACTGAGTTTGACTCCTAGGTCGACCCAGCTTTGAGTGGGTACCAGTCCTGGGAAGTAAAGCGGCCGGTGTGATGCTGACCACATCACCCACCAAGTGTCGATTGGTCTATAAAAAAATATAGGTCTAGCCCTATATTCCCTATACGCCTACAGACGTGGGAAAAAAGATATATTTTTACAATGAATGAAGGAATCAATCAAAATCTGACATCCCTGCACAAGGGACATTCCCATACGTGCTCCGTCTCCTTCTTCGATAGCCAACGAAGAGTTGATATGCTAATTGTACCAGTTGCATACTGATTAAAAGTTCGCCTAGGTTTTCCTCTCAGTTTTAAATATCATGCATATTCTCTGATCAACCCCCCCCCCCCCCCCCCCCCCCCCCCCCCCCCCCCCCCCCCCCACATACCCCCCTTCCTTTTTTTTTTAAACATCCACCCGCTAAAATAGTCTGTCAGTGTATGAATGCTCCATTCTCTGCTGCTGCATCGTCCACCACTTGAAAGTTTTTGCAACAGCCGTTTTGTCATAAAGTAGCTCACCACCCAGAGGAGCGGCAGCAGCCAATCTATCAGCCTGCTCATTACCCCTCACATCCGAAAATCCCGGATAGAAGATCTGTATGTTCCTAGTTCGAGTCTTATCAAGCGATGCAAGACACTCTACACGTAGGACGCCAGCTTCTTTTTGTTCCAAAGCATGCTCTGTGAATCCGTTACAGTGACCACATGTTGGGATGTGCTGCCCACCAGCCATCAGAAAAGCAGCCGTTACTGCCCCCAACTCCATTCTCATACTGGATCATACCATGGGTTGCGAGTCTTATGCCTCCCCATAGCACAATGCAACATTGTAGTGTGGAAAGACAGAAAGGTTTACCAACAGATTGATTACGCTGTGTACCGAGCCTCCACCCCAGATACACTTGTTTTGGTCTTCTTATCTATGGAGCTGAAACTAAACAGAACACTGGTGTAACGTCATGTGGCTAGGTACTGAGGTTTTGACATTATCATTTGTCTTTGAGTCATAGGCCCTGGTACGTGGGTGGTCAGGCCGATTGAGCTCACAATAACTGTGTAGAGAAAAAAAGTTGGAAAAAAAAAGTAAACATCTCTTTTCATGACTTTAGGCTCATCGGGCAATATGGGAATTACACCCCTATTTTTACAGACCAATCGGCACTAGGTGAGTAATGTGGTCAGCGTTACGCCGGCCGTCTTTACTTCCTGCGGACAGCCACCCTGGGACATTTCATTCCAATCGTTTCACAGCTGTGCCTTTTAGTCCACAGTTGCGATTGTAACGGGGATCAGCGAGAATCGTCGCCGGAACTACGGAGTTTATTTATTTATTATTTTTTTTTTTTTTTTTTTTTGAACAGCTAGGCAACTTTATTATTACATTACATATTGTCCCAAGCAGTCACAACAAAATAAGTCAATGTGAAACATCACTATATTTACTGTTTCATGGTGGCCTCCTCAGGCAAGAACCCTGTATACGTAATACACAGGTATTTAAGTAGTTTAATGAAAAAAGCGTCAGAATATAAGCACATAATATATACAAGCCTGCTCTCCAGTGAGTGGAAACATGACGATCCAAAACAAGGCAAGGACACAGAATCCGTAACAGGAAAGTCACATAGTCCCAACACAACAGTTTACTTCCCAGGTAACTTCCTTCTAAACAGCAGCACGTGTGGTTCTGCAGAAATAGACAGTATAATGCAAATTAATTTCCATATGATACTAGGTGCAGAATTCTTGTAAAATGTAAAGGACCCCTTTTCCATGCTTTCTGGCACATAAGGCTAGACCAATTAGTAGATGTGGTCAACAACATGCTGGCCACCTTTACTTCCCAGAACTTTATGTGGCACCCATTTAAGGCTTGACTGACCCGGGAGCCAAGGCATTTCTGAAAAAAAGTCAGGCTCCGTTTGGGTTTAAACCCATGACCTTTTAAACAGCAAATTAGCTTAACTTAACTGTTTACACATAGTAGGATTTTTCCATTCTTGAACGCACTGGGGTCTTGTCGCCACATCAAAATGCAACACAATTTCCAGTATTCTGGGGTAAGAAACAGGATGAGGAAGAGAACTGTCTATCTCATCTCATATGCCATGGCCTTAAACCTGTGAAGGCTTAAGGTTTCCCCTCTTTGTGGCAGTAACTGCCAGAACACTACTTTTAGTTAGCGTCTGTGGCTTAGGCTTTACTTCCTAAATCCAAGGTGTCACGTTTGATCCCAGCTACAGGCGATTTGGTTGCAGACCGCCCTGGATCATGTCTCATGTAATGTATCCAGCCATGACTTTGCTGCACTCCAATGCTGCGCCATTCAGTCTCTGACATGAGATGAGATTTTGGTACAAGTTTTGCAATCTCTTTGGGTAGTAATACACGCCTGTACTCATATTCATCATCTGTATATTTATCTGAATAGTAGATTTGTTTCTGTAAATTCGTCATTTCTTCTTTAGTCAACTTATTGACAATCTTGGCTCGGTTTTCTTGGTTGCTCTCCAACATCTTCGTTCGTTTGTTGACAATGAACGTTTTCAGGCGGCTAGAGAAAGAGATAAAAGCCAGAGCAATGAAGTCTGGCTCGACTTTATATTATTATTTATCGTTCGTTCGGCGTACGATGTATTACCGTCCGGTGTTAACATGGTTAAGTGGTCGGCGGCTAACGATCCGACTTGCCCGCTGTGCCAAGCGAAGCAGACTAGAACACGTTTTGTCCGCATGCAGGAAAGCCCTAGGTCAAGGCCGATAAACCTGGCGACACAACCAGGTGCTAAAAGAGTTAGCAGCCGTTGTTGACCAGGCTAGGATGCGGGCCAATGCTAGGGCCAGTCCTACCATCGTCCCCATACGTTTCCTCAAGGCTGGGCAGATTCAAAAGGGTAAGATCAACAAAAACGCATTCGCTCCATCTATGCTAGACTCTGCAAGGGACTGGTTACTGGCGGTTGATCTGCCGGGCCATGAAAGGTACCCTGAGTTAATCCGGAAGACCGGCCTGCGACCTGACATAGTTCTCCACTCTGCGGAAAAACGGCAGCTCATCCTGATTGAGCTGACCGCCCCGTATGAGTCGCGTATGGACGAAAATCACACGTACAAGCTCGAGAAATACGGTGATTTAGCAGCCGGTCTGAGGAGAGACGAGGCGTACACAGTACGGGTCTTTGCCGTCTAAGTGGGAGCGAGAGGCCTCGTTTCCACTTCGCTCTAAAATGTGGTTAAAGAACTAGGATTGCGTGGTAATGAACGCAAACGGACACTTAAACGGCTGGGCGAGGTTGCCGAGAGGGCCTCGAGCTGGCTTTGGACGCAACGGAACAACGTAGGGGACGGGCCTCGGTGAGCTGGTCCAGGTGTCTAGTGGAAAAGGGTATCTCATCCTTTGAAAGTCCATCGTGTCCGAATTGTCTGCCAGTGTTAGTCTGCCACCTGCTAACAAAGTCTAACATGTGTCCGGTATACCAATCGTAAGCTTGTCGCTCGGTCGTCCAGGTATGCAGACTGCTCTAATTATGCTACCGCGACGACTTCTTATCTCACAGTACCTTCTGCAAATCACCAAGTCGTCTTGTCCCTATCCGAAAGAAAACACCATCCGGTAATTTCGTGCAGCGGGGAAACCAGCCCTGAGCTTCATGAACTCAGGTGGGCCCACTCTCTGAAAACGTCTAGGAGCTCGTGGGCCGAAACGTTTGTCGACGAGGGATAACTTCTACTGATGACTGGTAGATCCCTGCTGTACTTGCTCCCCTGTGAAGTTTATTCCTATTTCAAGTATATTATATTTATTTGCCATTCAGCATAATGCTGTCAATAATAAAAACCACAACAATGTCTTTAATAGGAAATACATAAAATAATATACTTGAAATAATATTCAGTTCATAAGCAAATAAACCAAAGGATTAACCTACCCACCCGCTGTGCCTCGGCTAATTTTCGACTAGAAAATATGGTGAGATCCACTATAATCTCCCCAGCTGGTTAACGCAATGACGCTGTTAAAACAACAACGAACCAGCGACCTTCAGAACACTGCAAACATCTTGACCTCTTCGCCGCGGATACATGAAAGCTGTGATAATGAGGTACCAGATCTAAGAAATATGGGTCATGCTAAACAATATTCGTCGGATAAAAGAGTTGGAAAAAAATTACCGGAAGTAGTTGACTGTCATTTTGCGCAATCTGCTGACGTCATGTGTTTATTACAGTGTTTCCCAAACTTGTGTAAGTCGCGGGGCCTTTTTTCGATTAAAATATTTCCACGTCGCCTTAACCTAAGTAAAAGTATGACTATTCGTATGTAAGAGATAATAAATCCAAAAAAAAAAAAAAGTCTTGTTTTTCCAAATATTTCGCAGCGCCCCTGTGAAGAGGTCGCGGCTCCCCGGGGCGCCGCGGCGCATAGTTTGATAATCACTGGTTTATTGTAAAGATGTTGTGGCAGGTAACTTTTGCTGGTGAATGTTACCGACTGGTTCATGATTGTTTAGACACATACCTTCTAGCAAGGTCGTCTCTAATTGTTGCTTACGTAAATATGAAAGTGAGGAGTGAAGGCATAAAGCAGTGATTCAAAAACTGTCAGCCAACCGCGCCCCGGGGAGCCGCAACCTCTTCACAGGGCATACTTTTACCTATGTTAGGGCGCCGTGGAAAACTTTTATTGAAAAAAGCGCCACGACTAAGAAAAGTTTGCGAAACACTGGTATAACGTTTGTCCTCGGTTTGTGGGAAGTGCGGAATTTATACAAAGTAAACAATGTAAGAACTTTTTCTTTAGGCCCGTTGGGCATATATTTTTAGATTTTTTTTTTATAGATTTTTCAGCATTTAGTTAGTTAGGTAGTCATCATCACGCCGGTCGCCTTTACTTCCCACGACTTAACCTGACACCCATTTAAGGACAGGTCGACTGTGACAGTTTATATTAAATTTACTGGATTATGGTTTAGTCTGGGAGCGACCATAGCCTTGTTGCTAGACATAGGCTGGTGCGAAGGTCTTGGGTTCGAATCCCCATCAGTTAGATTAAAAAATGACCCTGGCTCTCAAGTCGACCTAAATTAAAATAGGTACAAGATAATGTCCCGTGAAGTAACGGCGACAGGTGTGATGTTGATCGAAAAACTGATTGATGTTTATAAATATGTGTCTAGCTTCCTGGACTAATTCGTCGGCGACCGGGTTGCCCATTGGCTCGCCGGTAGACGACTTCGTCGCGAGTCGGGACAGTATTTTGTTCTGTCTTTTTTGACACCATCAGCACTGCAGAAAATCTTTAGAGGACTCTAGATGGCATTTTACATAACCTAGTCACAATACTCCTTGATATAAAAGTGCATGAGGCGGAAGAGCTGGCGAGAGACCGAGTTTCTTTCATGCAGACCGTGATGAGAGCGACGTTCTGCAAAGGACCTGCTACGTGATGATGATGAGTCATAATTAAAACCTAAAGCTTCCCCTTTAGGAATGCTGATTAAACGTGGAGATTTTTGTTTTGTTCCAGCAAAGCATCTACCTACCTGCCTGGACCCGATTCTCGCCTGACGTGAAAGGGGGTGTTTTACTTATGGTTTCTGTGTATTTTTTTTTTTTTTTTAATTTAAAGCATTGTCATGCTCCTTTTCCTTCTTCTCTGTGTGTACATGTATTATTCTCTTTTGCCTGTTGGTCTTATATTTTGAAACTACATACATTTATGCCCGTCCGTCAGTCAGGATCACAGTTTCTCATAGTCTCTCTCTCTCTCTCTCTCTCTCTCTCTCTCTCTCTCTCTCTCTCTCTCTCTCTCTCTCTCTCTCTCTCTCTTGCTCGCTCGCTCGCTCACTCACTCGCTCACTTACTCACTTTCTCTCTCTCTTTCTCTCTCTCTTTCTCTCTCTCTTTCTCTCTCTCTCTCTCTCGCTCGCTCGCTCACTCGCTCACTCGCTCACTTACTCATTCTCTCTCGCTCTCTCTCTCTCTCTCTCTCTCTCTCTCTCTCTCTCTCTCTCTCTCATTCACACATATACACCACATATACATATACACACACTGTCCTGTATTTTCCACTCTTTTTATCTGTTTGACAGCAACTCCTCCGTTTTTAAACTGCCTGTCTGTATGCCTGTCCATCTATCTGAATGACAGAACCTCAAGCTCTCTCCCCTCTTTCTCTCCCTCCCTCCCTATCTATCTATCTATCTATCTATCTATCTATCTATCTATCTATCTATCTATCTATCTATCTATCTATCTATCTATCTATCTATCTATCTATCTATCTATCTATCTATCTATCTATCTATCTATCTATCTATCTATCTATCTATCTATCTATCTATCTATCTATCTATCTATCTGTCTGTCTGTCTGTCTGTCTGGTCTGGTCTGGTCTGGTCTGGTCTGGTTTGGTCTGGTCTCGTCTCGTCTCGTCTCGTCTCGTCTGGTCTCGTCTGGTCTGTCTGTCTGTCCATCTGCATGGTTGTATGCATATCCGTCTCTCTTGATTACAGTTCCATAATCTCTCTCTCTCTCTCTCTCTCTCTCTCTCTCTCTCTCTCTCTCTCTCGCTCTCTCTCTCTTTCTCTATTTCTCTCTCTTTCTCTCTCTCTCTCTCTTTCTCTTTCTCTCTCTTTCTCTCTCTATCTCTCTCTCTTTCTCTATCTTCTCTCTCTCTCTCTCTCTCTCTCTCTCTCTCTCTCTCTCTCTCTCTCTCTGTTCCACTCACTCTCAAACACATTTATTTACGTCTTTTTTCCCCACTGTCTATCTATCTGTTTGGCTGTCTAATCTAAATCACAGTTCCGCAGTCTCTCTTCCCCTCCCCTCTCACTTTCTCTCTCTCTCTCTCTCTCTCTCTCTCTCTCTCTCTCTCTCTCTCTCTCTCTCTCTTATTTGCCCGCTGAACTCACTCACTAACACAGACACACACAGAGACGCACAATCAGTGAGCAGTTTTTTTTTTAAAGAGAAAAAAAAAAGATTGTCTTCAGTAAAAAGCTACCTGTCCATACTAGATATCTCTCTCTCTCTCTCTCTCTCTCTCTCTCTCTCTCTCTCTCTCTCTCTCTCTCTCTCTCTCCCTCTCTATCTCTCTCTTTCTTTCTCTCTCTCCCTCTCTCTCTTTCTTTCACTCGCTCACTCGCCTACGCACTCACTCACTCACATACACAGAAAAAACATTCGTTCGTTCTATCTTCAGTTTCATGCTGTATGTCTATATGCTTGTCCATATTTCTAGATCTCTCTGTCTCCTGCTTTTTCGTTCTTCTCTTTCTTTCTTGCTTTTCTTCTTTCTTTCTTTCTTTCTTTCTTTCTTTCTTTCTTTCTTTCTTTTTTTTTTTTTTTCTAGCTTTCTCTGTCGCACTTTCTGTGTCACACTTTCTTTCTTTCTCTGTCTCACACAAAAACACACACAAACACATACAGTGTTTTTTTTTATCTTGCAGAAATAAAACCTGCCTGACTGACGTCATAAGACTTCTGCGAAAGTCGAATGCAAGTCTTGCAGATAG